TAAACGAGCAATTCTTGTATATATATATATATATATATATATAATTGGAATCTCGGAAACGGTTCCAGTGATTTTCATGAAATTTAGTATGTGCGTAGATTCGGGGGCGAAAAATCGATCTGACTAGGTTTCATTTTTAGAAAATGTCGTTTTATCCCAGTTTTCAGGGAATGAAAAATATTATTCCAATACGACGGTAAATTTCACCGAAAAAAAAAATGTTATGATAGCTCGGTCGGTAATCGGGCGGCCGCTTACAAACAGCCACGAAACAGAAGGCCGTGGTTCGTATCACGATCATATACACACTTTTTTTTACTTTTTTTCGATTCCAGATCATTGCTTTCTTTATCTTTTATTTTTTGTCGATTTGTTATTTTGTTATTTTATTCCCTTTTTTTTAAAGTTCTTTCTTTTGTGAAAAACATCAGTTTATATTTTCTTATGATTAGAGGCAAACGAGCATGCGGGTCACCTGGTGATAAGCGATCACCCATGGACGCCCGACATTTGCAACATCGGTTGAGTCGCGATTGCGTTGCCGGCCTTTAAGGTAGGAATAGGCTCTCTTCTTGAAGATCCCTAAGTCGTATCGGTCTGGAAATACCGCTGGCTCGTTCCACAAAGTAGTTGGGTTCAAAAGCCAGAATTCCTACTACCTACTAATATTGGAGAATGTGTTTTGCATGCCCTGTCGTCCCATAAATGTAAACGAAACTTTACTATGACGACCCGATTGGCGTGGGGATAGTGAACCTGCCTCTACACCGCCAAAAGGGTGAGGGTTCGATCCCCACTACTGGAAAAATATTGTGTGATGAATATCGTGTATTTATTTGCATAAGAAAAGTATGTTTATCACTTTTCTAGTACCCATAGTACAAGCGTTGCTTAGTTTGGGGCTAGAGAACGTTGTGTAAAAATGTCCGCAAAAGTATCGTATTTAAGACACATTTTTATCCGGAAAAAACTTAACAGGGTATTAAAAACCCTGACAAAGGCTAATGATACAATAATACAACGTCCACTCACATTTTGTATGGGGGCCCGTGAAAAAGCGGAAGTCATAATTTAATTTAACAGCGCCGGATGTTGGCGGTCGATTGTGCTTTTGAGCGGGAAAATAGCGATTGGCAGTGAAATCGGAGAGTGTTGAAATCTATGACAATGTAATAAGATTACTTGTGTTTAATTTGTATTAGAAAAACATATGACGCAGTCCTCACACAAATTTTCAACGGCGACTTATTTATCGTATATTTTAAATTTTGATATTGATTATATTTCTCGAGTTTTCAAATTAATGGAAACTCGCCCGCCAATGCCCGTTTTTTAAATAATTTTGCAAAACTGAAAAGCTTTTTTTTATTACTTTATTTTATGCCAATATGTATAAAAAACGTTTTAATATTCGGCCTATTGACAAGGTATTAGACCCTTAGTCCACGGGAAAGGCCGTCTGTTGTAGCATAAGTTGAGTTTCCATCTTTTGCCAATGAGTTTTTTTTTATCCCCAAGTAATTTTAATATTTTTGTAAAATTTTGTTCTTTTTTGTTCTTTATAATAGTGTTAATATTCTTTTTAAATTCTCTCTTTTTTTTGTTTAGCACTTAAATTTATTGTTCAATTAATTTTTTCTTAGCAATAAACTATTATTATTAATATTTGTTTATCAAATCAACTTCGTCCAGTTTAATACGTAAATATTATTGATAACTTGGTCGAGGCAGCGCTAAGTTATTGTTGACGCGCTGAATATCGTGGGTTCAATCCCAGCACAAAGTATAATATGACGCAGATAATACAAATATTAAGTGTCCTAGTGTTCTAGTTTCAAATTCTCTCAATTGATGTAGGTATTTAAAATATCTTTACAAAATATATTATTACTAGTGATTGAGATTCATATTTTCAGAAACTGAAAAATATGATAATCTGCTACTTTTCTTTCCGTGTTTTTTTTTTTTTGATGAACCCGATAGATCACGAACATGCTGGCCGCCGGAGATTGTATCGTCTCATCATATTTAATTACGTAATAAATATATAGATTGAACGAAACTTGTTTGAAGACATAGTATTTATTCGTTATATTGTTATATAATATTTTTTTAAATTATCTATTTCTCTAATGACAAGTCTAGTTGTACCCCACACCGCCCGCTTCGCTAGAACATACCATCTTCTCTCAATCAAAAAAATGTATGTTCTATGTAAATTTATCTCTATCTCTTAAGAAAACTTTCGCAAAAAGACAAAAACTTAAAACTAGACACTTAGAGAAGTGGAGCTTCTAGAAAAAAAGAAAAGCACTATAGCGGCCTCCCGGAACAGTTTTTGCATTGTCGAAAGTACGAACTGTGAGTCAGCCAAGGCGCCCCTCGTGTGTATCGGAGAATGGATACCTATTCAACGAGACTGCAAGGTCGATCCTTTACTCTCGTCCACTTAAGTGTCTCATATTCATGTATAGATACGACATTTGCTCAGAAGGTCAGATTGAACGTTTCGAAATGTTATTAAAAACTCGTTAGCGCAAACTGCATGCATATAAAATAGATAGACATAAGTACTAATATACAATTAAAAGACGACAAACGTTGATAATAAAGTTGCGGCTTCGGTCAAGTTAAGTAATATTTTTCATATTACAACAGTCAACGTGCACCGGAGGATTATTTAACGTGTATAAATTAGAATAATTAACTCTAATGCAACCACTAACCGTGTAATGCGCCCACTTAAAAATCACACATGGCTCGGCATCCGGATTCTGCGGCAGAAAAACAGGCTTCTCGCATCTGTAGGTGTGTCTCAAAATTCTGAGACCACTAAAGTTCACAAGGAAATACCGTTAACTTGAACACTTCTATACATCACAAAAGCGCGCACTAATTATGATAGGAGACACAGCACATAGCATTTTATTCACAAATTATGATGAAAAACAACAGACACTAAGTTATAATCGGCATAAAACTCCCGACCACCGTGTATAACTTGGTTGGTTTTAAGTTCACATAACCCGCCACCGTGGAATTGCAGTCGCAACTGACATGTTTACGTTCTGTTACTCTGACACGATAGCTATCTATTCTTGTCAGCCTTAAGGTGAAACGACCGCGCGAGAGTGAGACGAAATATTAAACCATCACTACGTAACGTTTGCCAATTGCCTAGGTTATGTGCACCATCTACAATATGAAACAATAACTGCTTCACCTATAAGATGATCAAAAATCGATTTAAGAATGGCTTATTGTCAATAGAGGGCGTTATTCTAAAAAAATTGATTCACCTAAACTTATAAGACTAAGTACTAAATTCCAACACTAGATAGAGCGTTTTGTCATTATTTTATACAATTAATGTTTCAATAGCGTTTTAATCCACAATATTGTTTATTTTCAATTTCTGACCGTTTTTTGTAATATTATTTTATTACCATTGTCTTTTAAATTTTTGTATGTCTTCTTTTAATTATCAGTGACCTTTAAAATACTGCTATCATTAGGAATTTCTTAATATTATTGAAGTTGCTTGAAAGAGCACGAAAAGTTGTCAGGTTCCAATTAGTTCAGGTAATAAGCCTTTCACTTTGTCATTATTATTTAAAAGTGTTTTGAAATCAAATAATTAAGTAAAATAATTTCTTTCAAATCTATTACATTACACATCAAGTTTTGGAGTCGTGAATGAGAACAAAACTAGTACATAAAACGACACCAAATAACTATTAGCACTTCAATTTTATAACGAAGTAATATACAACTTTTAACGATGTTTATAAAAACCAATATAGGTGTAATAACAAAATGAATGCATTGAAAATATAGTATTGTCTTTATTCAACTCATATAATTATAAACATATAAAAATAAATCTATTAGCACCACTAGACACCTTATCTTAACATACACGGTTCGAATTAGTACTAATTTATGCTATTCTGAACAACGAATCACGTTAGATGTTACAATTACAACTGACATTATTTTTGCCAAATTTTCTTAAGCGAATTATTGTCAATGTATATTTTACTCACCAGAACATATTATCGTTTATGCACAAGTAAATATTACTCATGATTATTCCTACAATACATTTTTTTTACCGTATTAGTTGGGGTGATTTCTGAGAACCGTTAATTATTTCAGATGTGCGATTGTCCGTTTTTTTTTTCTTTAATTAGAACTAGCCAGCACTTGACTGCCATCCTACCTGATGGTAGGATGGCAGATGTACACGGAAGAAACTTATCGTAAAGGGGTGGCATTTTTAAAGAATTATCACAATAAGCTAAGGCTATAGACAAAACTTATACAAACTTAGATACCAACTTAACAAAAGCTTAATATTTATTAACGAACCAATTGGCGTAGTTGATCCTGTCTTGCGACCTGTCTTGCACCAGAGTGTATGGGTTCGATACCCACTACTGGAACTATATTGTGTGATGAACATAGTGTTCTTCTATTGTATGGGTACTTTTTTATATATCTATAATATGTATTTATTTACAAAAGAAAAGTATTTCTAAGTAAAAAATAAGTGTATCAGTACCTAGTAACCTCACAGTAAAAGCTTTGCTTTTGGTATTAGATAACGTTGTGTAAAAATAAATGTCCCAAAGTTTATTTTATTTTTTTATGCGAAAAGTTGCCAAACGAGCAAATGGGTCACCTGATGTTATGTGAATACCGCCGCCAATGGACATCTGCTACACCCGAAGGTTACAGATGCGTTGAAAATCTTTTTAAAATTGGGCTCTGGCTAGCTAAACGAAACGCCAAAGTATTTGTCATACTTCCACTTTACGGTGGTCTTCTGTGAGTTCGTGGTACTTATCCGGACGGGCCTGCCCGTTCGTGCAACAGCCGAGGCTGCTGCGTAGCCCTACCACCGTTTTAATTTATATATTTATACAATTCGAGTTCACTATGAGATATTGGCAAGAGGTATACCTCAGGAACAATAGCCTGTAGGTCTTGTGACGTCACACTTTGACCATGATTCGTTCCAAAGGGTTCCTTTGGAGGTCTGGAACTGTGGCCTTGGGATGTGGCCTTCCGACTGGCAGCAGGAGCTCCAGCCTCTCGTTGGGAGGCCTCGAGAGGAGATCTCTCAGGCGGGAGTTGCAGTTGAGGGGAGTGGAGGTGAGTGAGACCAGGCCGCAGTACTGGAAATAAAGTATATCCTTACTAATATTATAAATGCGAAAGTTTGCATGTATGGATGGATGATTGTTACTCTTTCACGCAAATACTACTTAATGGATTCTAATGAAACTTTACAAAAATATAGCTTATACATCAGAATAACACATAGCCTATAATTTATATGTATATTTTTATGTACATCTGTCTTTCAGTTTGAATGTTACGCCTTCAGCCTACTCTACGCTAACGTAGTCACGGGCAGCAGCTAGTATGGCTACAGATGTCCCACTGTTACATCTACCACGCAACCCCACAGCGAATTGCCTGACTTCACATATCTTCGATTTTTATTATTTCGAAAACATGCACGTTTCCTCACGATGTTTCCCTTCGCGATAAGTGGGCACTTATATCAACAACTCCATTACTGCTAAACTGAGTTTTTGCTCCAGTATAATTAACTAAAAACCAGCACCCGGACAATATGTTCTCAAACAAGTAAGAAATTTTCGGTAAATTACTTGTCAATTAAGTTCTAACAAGACGCTAAATAGCTGTATGTATTTAATTTAATATTAGGCATATTTTTTCGGGATGAATTTTATCATTGAAAAGTTCATCGACGCGTATTTCACGGTGGTAGGGCCACGCAGCAGCCTCGGCTGCTGCACGAATGGGCAGGCTCGTCCGGATAAGTACCACGAATTCACAGAAGACCGGCGTCAAGTGGAAGTATAATGCTTTCGCGTTTCGCCTGGTTAGTGAGGTAGCCGGGGCCCACTTTTTTGGAGAGGTCACAACACATCTGCACCTACATCCTGCGGGAGTTGCAAATGTTAAATTTTGAACGTATTCAGGGATTTCGTTGTAAAAACGTAAACACTGTCCGGTAGGTCTTATCCTCTAGGCGGACCGACGACATCATGTGTCGCGGGCAACCGGTGGATGCAAATGGCAAAGTGTCGTTGTGGCGTTTTAAGGGGGAGGAACGTCAACAGTGGACGTCTTGCGGCTGACGGTGATGATGAAGTCCGCTACCCTACGCAGCCTAGCTGGGTAGCAGTTACCTGGATGGCGGCAAGCAGGAACCCCGCGGCTATCGCGACGCTGAGCTCGCTGTAGTAGTGCATCCTCTTCCGCCCGTCTTCCCTCCAGGAGTGGGTCTGCCTGAACACCAGTATCAGAGCTGGCGCGTCCGTCAGGTAAGGCTTGGTGGGGCGCGTCGCGAACGGCCTCAGATCCGCCACCCACTGCCTGGACATCCGCTGCGAGTAGTTCGCCTCCTCCTCCTCCTCCACGATGCTCCTGATCATGCTCTTTGTCTCCCGGTCCTGGACGACGACGAACGTCCACGGCTCCGTGTGCGCGCCAGACGGGGATGTCCCTGGATTCGCGTAAAGTTTTCACGATGCGGGATAAATCGTTGCCGTAAACACGTTATTACATCGGCGAAATAGCTCGCTTTAGATTCTTAGCGGGTTTGATTCTCGTAATTAAATTATTTCTACAATACATATTTCCGTATAAGGGTCTGTACAAAGTTTGCGATGAAAGATATCCTATTTCTTAGTCAAATTCTAAGTCGAAATCATTTCGCATTGTATCTTATCCTATAGTTAGATTGGCTTTAAGTAAATTCAGGGCTTTCATTACACTATGGTTACATTGACCGGTTCAATTAATCCCCTTAATGTTGCTCGAGTACATCGCATGATTAGTGTTTTAGTTCGATTCAGGTTGCTCGAGTTTACCGAATGAAGAGCAAGCACCCAGACACTAAAGACCCATTTACACGGTGCAAGTTTCTTGCCTGTTGTATACAATTAAATTGAAGCAATAAATGAGTTGCATGGTCTAAACAACAAATGGTCTAACAAATTATTGCGCGCAATTTATTGCATTCAATTATTGCTCTTGTATGTACAAGAAAATGGCATCGTGTAAATGGGCCTTTAGGTACACTAGGTTAAAATAAACGTGAAACATTTCTAAGTTTTTTATTTTTTTATAGTGTTAATCTCTGCACTTAGATAAATCATAAAATTTTTAAAAAAGTGTTTTTTTCTAAAGCGTCAGGCCGCGAATTACGAAGACGTGGGTTCGATTACCACAGCGGCGACAATCTTTTCGTACTTTCTCTACAAATTTTAATGTCTTAGTTTTGCTCACCGGCAGTTTTAACCAAGTTATCGAGCACCTCCTGAGGAATAGGCTCTGTGCTGAAGCTCCTCACTGTGCGTCTCTTTGCCATCAGTTCGTAATACTCGCGTGACCTTTGCAACACCTCGTCGTTCGACCTCTGCAGAGGCTTGTAAGGAATGTGGGGCGTGTCCTCCGGGATCGCTGACGCAAGGAGTCCAGGGTCGTCCTCGTCTTTGGGGTAGTCTCGTTCTGGAAGGTCAAATTAAGTGAAGACATGAATACATTAGGTTCGTTCACTAATATTATTTTACACAGCACCTAATACAAACTGTTTGTTATCACGCTTTTATAAAAAAGTATTAAGTAAGCAATAAACAGGAGCAATATACGGTTACGTTTGTAGGTGATTGTTGACAGAAACAAGCAACTGTAGTGAAAGGCTTGCAATGTGAAACGTAAGACGATTTTAAAAATGTTTATCGGTTAATCATTTTTCGTTTGGTGCGTTCACACACTGTCGCGTGACTGGTCCCTCTTAAGAGTATCATGACTATGAATGATATTTTGCCAAAGACGTCAGCGTTTTTTAGATTCGAGGAATTGTCGTGTTTGCTTATTTTGCAACCGACTTCAAAAAAGGAGGATATCAAGTCGGTGATGAAAATAGCTGTAGTATATCTGTTATTAATAATTCTATATCACAGGTGACAATTAGTAATAGTCGTATAAGAAATTAATTGAATGTTCTGTATTGTTTGAATTGTTAAATGAATATATACAAAACGAGGCATCAAAATGTCGACTCTACTCTCCGAGAGATTGCGTAATCTGCTGTATGTCGACCGTCCTGTAGGAATGGGCAAATATTGCAACTTAAATGATCATTTAATGTAAATTATCTGCCCTCATATGACATTATTCATTGTCCTTTCAATCCAGTAACCTTCCGATTTAGGTAACTTTGGAGGCAAGTTGTCGTGAGTCCTGTAACTGTAGTTGTTATATGCTGTTTTTGATATTTAGAACAGCTCCCGAAAAACTGCTTAGCATCAATTGGAAAGTGCCCACTCTACTAACCTGTTTGTAATAAGAACGTATTTCTTATGTTTGTATTTGCGTTTCTTCTTTGCACCTCTTTTATCTCTACATCGCTCCGTAGGTTTACTTGTGAAAGTAAAAAAGTAAAGTTACAACCTAAGAATGTCCTTCTGCTGTACAAAGCCCTCCTTTATACAAAGGGCATCAGGGCATAGTCCACCAGGCGGCCCCACTGCGGATTGGCGAACTTCACATATCTCCGAAATATTTTTTCCTTGTTATTATTTCGAAAATATACAGGTTTCCTCATGTTTTTCTGCACATTGAGCATTTGATAATCAGCACTTAAAATTAACAATTTCATTGGTGCCAGCACCAGGCTTGGAAACTCGGGTAGCTCGAGTATATTTGAGGACCCGAATGGCGTAGTGGGTAGTGCCTGCCTCCTGCGCAAGAGAGTGTGGGTTCGATTCCCACTACTGAAAAAATATTGTGTGATGAACAGTGTTTATTAGTGTCTGGGTGTTTATATATGTATAATATGTATTTATTTACAAAAGAAAAGTATGTATCAGTTATCTAGTAGCCATAGTACAACCGTTGCTTAGTTTGGGACTAGAGAACGTTGTGTAAAAAATGTGTCCTAAAAATATTTATTTTAAAAATTTTAAAAAAATATTGAAAGCCAGGGTTTAAACACTGAGCTATCACGCCTCGGCTGGCTTGCAGAGAGTCAACAACAACAGGCTGTAAGTCCTTCTATATAAAAAATGTATATAAAAGTAAAATAAATAAATTACTAACTCAAGTAGGTATTGCGTATTCCAGAAAAACAAGTTACTCTCATATGTGGGCGAAACAATCACTTTTACTGTAAGTTACTTTTACTTTGACCCAGTAATATGTTAATACATAATCTACTTTTAGTACCTTTTTGCTTACTTACTTAAATATTTATTAAAATTTTCTTATAAAGAATGCATGATAATTTTATACGTGAGAAGGTTTCAAGCTAACTAGCGGTTCACCATATGTTAAGTGATAACCGCCCGTGGACTTTTGAAGATGCGTTGTCACTTTTATAAAGTGGGCTCCCGATACCTTTTTATTTTTTTGGGCTAAAACTAACTATCCAGTCTATCTTTTTGGGCCGGATGAGCCACTGTTGGCCTTAGGGGCCTTTACAGTTCCTACGGGCTTGAGGTGAAAGGCTGAACCTCGGCGTATTATTGTTACGCGTTATAGTGACTAAGCTCGAGGGCTCCCGGGGGAGCCTCGGCTCGGGCCGTCACGCTATTATTTTCTTCGGTTTGGGAAGCCGCCAAGCTCTTAGGGCGCTTTGGCGGACGCTCCATGGAGTGATCAGGCTCAAGGGTCCCCGAGAGGGGACCTCCGCTTGGGCTGTCACTCAACACGCGTTTAGCATTCCGATTCCAGGGTGCCAGAGAGGGCCTGACCTCGGCTCGATCGGTAACTATTATCTGACTGGGCCGGATACCTAACTCACCAGACGAAGCGTAGTTGTATAAAATGTCCACTTCACGTCGGTCTTTTAACAGTTTTTTTACATGAAAGAAAACGAAAAACCTTTATTAATAAATTCTTTATACACATTATTATACGGTCCTGTGCAAATATTTCGCACGGATCAAATAGTTAAACATTTTGTGTGACAACTATTTTGTGTGACCCACAGACAGTTGTTTCGCATCTGGGTGTTTGTCTGCGTGAAATTTATGTTTGTAAAAACGTCATTACAACACAGGATAATATTATCCTAAAGTAATGGCAACGTTAAAAAAAAAATTCTTGAGACCGTCTATTGTGGCGTGGTCTAAGGGGTCGATTAAGAAATGGTTTAACATGTCACAAGCTGTCAAGTTCGTATACTTGAGTGGGGTAGCTAGGGTCAATTGCTAGTCGTCCGAGCTTATCGTTGAGAGACAGGCGGTCAGTGTGTCGATCTACAGAAACCGCGAATGCGAAACGAAGATTTTTTCGAAGTATGTGTTGGAGAGAAAACTAAACTCGACCGACATTATCTCATCACTGCCTTGATGATTAGCCGAGACCAAACCTCGACCGAACTTATCCCATCACTGCCCTAATGATTCACATGCTTGAACAACAAAGTCGTCTTCTTTTACTTTTAGATCACATTGACACGAGTAGGTTACATGCTCTGTGGCGAAACTATTTGAAAATAAATCTTTTGTAAATCGTCATCCGCTGATTTAATCGCGTAACAACTGAAAAAATAACCAGACGTTATTTAGTTTTATGTAATTTAAGGAAAAATTGTCTGAGACAGAGGTCTGTCGATGCTTAATGATTAATCCGATAGATATTCCTTCTATAGTAGTCACAACACCTTTTTGAAGACCGTGGTGTGGCGACCAGCCAAGTGGAGCTACTATAATAAAATAATATACTATATGTATAGCTAATTATAGGCATGCGCGCTTATTACTTCATTAAAGCACTCTACTGGAGACCAAGATATAATTGTACCGGTCGTGTGCGTGTCGCAGCCGTGACGCAGACGATGTAAGTATAACAAAGCAAAGGTCCTTCGCGCTGCGTCGTCTAGCGAAAAAGTGATGCAAGTTAAGAGTATTGCGAAGACGTAGACATACGAGTAGCGGTCGATGACAGAGTGCGGTACCGTATGTGCGCAAAATCGAACACAGGCAGGGCACTCCGCAGTTTGTGTTCACAAAGTGCAGAGTGGCAAACGGTGGCAAGCGGGCTAACGGTTCACCTGATGTTGAGTGACCACCACCACCCATGGACATTTACAACACCAAGAGTGTTGTAATGACGTTTTTACAACAAGAGTTCTAACGATTTTAAGAGTATTGCGAAGACGTAGACATACGAGTAGCGGTCGATGACAGAGTGCGGTACCGTATGTGCGCAAAATCGAACACAGGCAGGGCACTCCGCAGTTTGTGTTCACAAAGTGCAGAGTGGCAAACGGTGGCAAGCGGGCTAACGGTTCACCTGATGTTGAGTGACCACCACCACCCATGGACATTTACAACACCAAGAGTGTTGTAACGACGTCTTTACAACAAGAGTTCTAACGATTTTAAATTGATCCTTATATTTTAACTATTACTGAACTTGGTTATATAACCGTCCGGGAACGCGGTCGATATTCAAGTGAACACTGCTCCATGCGACCATGTGTCCATTAGCTCGAGTAGATAGCGTCATATCCGGTATACAGTGTTGCCAGCGCCAACACAAATGCCACCTTTCAAGAAAGTGGGCTCCGGTTACCTCGCTCGCCAGACGAAACGCAGAAGTGTGTGTTATACCACTTCATCTCGGTCTTGGTACATACCCCGGACGGACCTGCCCATTCGTGCCGACTGTTGCGTGGCCCTACCTCAGCAAATCGAAATTGAACGCCGATAAAATCCATAAATTATCTTTATTTACCAATGCATAATTTTTTTGTTTATGCCTTACCGCCAAACCTTAAATAGGGAATAACAAAGGGCGAACTTAAAGCCAATCGGCATGCTCTTCTAGTAACCACATCGCATAAACAAAAGAAATATTCATTAAGTTCGCCTGCTAGATTGTATAGGACCCTTTGCACGGGAATTAGACATGTGTTAGCTGTAATTTACGTTTTTACTCTAACGGTCATACTTGGAGTAAGTGAAATTGAAATCAAAATGTAAACGTGGCCGATATTTGACTACCTCTTCGACCTTCCGAAGCGCTCAGCGAGTATTCGAGTAGAGACTTATTCGACGGGTTGTACACGCAATCGGACGTTCAGTCAAGGCCCAGACGAAACAATGCTCAGACGTCCGAATGCAAGAAAGGTAATTCACAACTTCAACTAATAATAACTTCAAAGAAAATAAACAGCACGTTTATTCATACATTTATTTATTTAAATAAAACTTTATTCACATAAAAATCTTTGTACAAAGGCAGAATGCATGCCAAAGGCATTTTCTGCTAGTCAGCCTAAGGGACCATCCGGAGAAGTTGAGGTAATGCAAAAATAAAATAAAATAAAAAATTATTCATACGTATATTATAAATGCCAAAGTAACTCTGTCTGTCTCGTTTTCACGCCAAAACTACGGAACCGATTTAAATGAAATTTGGTACACAGATAGTCTAGAGCCTGAGAAAGAACATAGGCTTTTCTTTAATTGGATTTTTTTTAAAAGAAAGATATTTAT